GATCAGCTGCCTCCTACACACCCCCTACTGGGGATCGTGCCCTTGACCAGAATCAAACCTGGGACCCTTCAGTCCGCAGGCCGATGCTCTATCCACTGAGCCAAAGCAGCTAGCTAGGGCCAGGAGTAGAGTTTAAATCGAGTTTGAAATTAGTGCTCTTTCTACCTTTTCCTGCTTGACACATTAAAAATTTCAAGGCTTAGTTTAATGTGTCTAGTCTTTAGTGAAGCCTTCCCAATCTCTTCTATTCTTTCTTTTCCTATGCTTTCAGTATTTCCCATCCACATTCATTATAATACACATTCTTACTTACACATTGGCCCATTTATTAGTTCCTTTCACAAATATACTTTGAGAGCAGACTCTACCTGACACAGTGTGTGATACAGGTTATCAGCAGTAAGCAGGCCTGGACCTGGCCTCCCAAAGACCAGTGGGAAGGAGAGACTTTAGGTAAATAACTACACAAATACACCATCAAGTCCCCGATGATAATTGCTATGGGGAACAACTTCAGGTGCTGGTGACGTGTCTGTCTCCAGGCACCGCATGAGTGCCAGGAAAGACGCAACCTCAACCTTTTTATTTTCCCATCACTACCTTGTTCCATGATACCCAGGTGGAGTTGAGGTCATAAATGAAAGGAACTGTTTAGGTTTGAAATTAGATTTCTAATTGGAAACAATAAAATCAAACTGGCAGAAATGGAATAGTAAAAACTTTTTGGCCTCGTGACAAGATTTGAAGGGGCAAGAAGACAAATATTATTGCATGAAAAAGGCTGTCTCAATGTAAATCTCTCAATTCAGGAATGCATTTGTTATATTTGATATAGTATGAGTTTGACAGAGTTCAGAATATAATGAAAACCTCTATTTATTCAAACGTTTGCCAGAAGGGTGATGCTGAGTGAAGGATGGAAGCATAAACTGGCACCTGAGAGAGTTCTTGTTACTGCTTGTCGATATATTGTTTACAACTTTTTCATCTACTGAGTACAAAAAAAATTAACAACTTATACTAATCAGCCTCCCAAACTATTCAAGTGAAATCCCCAAATATGATATTTGAGATCTCAAATTTCATGTGAAATACAATCAAAGGAATTTCTTGCTATAAAATAACTGTGGTAGTTTCAAGCAATTTTTAACCTACTGTGCTAAATGCCTCTGAACTGACAGCCAAGGATTATAAATACTCAAAGAGAGACATTTTGGATTGAGGTACTGTACCTCAATGACACAGAAAGAATAATACTGAAATATACATTACAAAGGTTTTATCAATAAACACAAAACCTGCTGTAGGCTGTAAACAACAATAGAAAAAGATTTTAAATTGCTCAGACATGTCACCCAGTATTAGCAACCTTTTTTATTTGTTGCCTTATGACTCAATTTATTGCATTAAATACTTGAATTTACTGCTCTTAAAATTATGATACACTTGAAAGTGGGTTCTATTTTTTTGGAAATGCAATTTTAAAAAATTCAGCAAACCTAAAAATTATCCATTGGTTCACCACAAAGGAATAGCCTAGTCTCATTGGTTTGCTGGAGTATCTATGTCCCTGCTCATAACATCCAGACTGGTACAGGCATGTAAATCAGGCAGTTAATGCTAATGTGAGAGCTTGGAGTTCAATGGTTTGATGATGAAAACGCTACATTAATATTACACTAAACAGTCAAATCATTTCTTCAGGAATTGCTTGAATGAGTCCTAGAAGTTTGTGCAATATAAAACAGAGGGATTATTTACGTTTTCTGTTATAGGTCTTCTATAAAAATAAAAAGGAGTAACAGCCATGATCATCCTCCAATTCTCTGCAGCTTTATTTTTTTTGAATGTTGTTTAATAGTTTAATTTTACATTGAGATTTTCATCTCTCACCCATTTCCAGAGATTTTAACTGCTTAATAATCAGTAACATTTATATAAAAAAATATATATATACACATATATGTGTATGTGTGTATGTGTATATATATATATATATATATATATATATATTTTTTTTTTTTTTTTTTTTTTTTTTCAAGAGGAAGGGAGAGGGAAAGATAGAAACACCAATGATGAGAAAGAATCATTGATTGGTGCCTCCTGCAGGCCTCACACTGGGGATTGAGCCCACACCCAGGTATGTGCCCTGATCGGGAATCGAACCAATAGGTCCACACTCAACCACTAAGCCACACCAGCTGGGCAGTAACATTTATTTTGTATTGAATTCCCCCTCTCCATAAATTTCCTTCTTTGCTCACCAAAAGTTAAAAACCTAAGTTTATTAGATTTGAGACTCTGATCCATTTGCCCCCTGCTTCTCTTCTTACCTACAACTGCACTGACAGACGCTGGAGGAAGCCTGATACTGGGAAATGTTACCAGAATGCCCTTGGTTCATTTGGAATTATACAAATATAGGATCCTATGATTTTAATATTTTCTATATGAACTACATCTACACTGTGATAAATTATGCTCATAAGATAATTTGGTGATTTGGGATAAAATGAAATCTGTAACATTTTACTATTGCTATAATTGCATCTTAAATTATATTGCCTTGTACCCACTTCATAAGAGTAATATATTTTTAAATTGTTTCCACCTTGATTCAATTATCCTATAAAAGGGTAATATGCAAATAGGCCAAACAGAAGAATGACCGGTGGCTATGAGGCATACTGACCACCAGGGGGCAGACACTCAACGTAGAAGCTGCCCCCTGGTGGTCAGTGCACTCCCACAGGGGAGTGCTGCTCAGCCAGAAGCCGGGCTGATGGCTGGTGAGTGCAGCGGCAGTGATGGGAGCCTCTTCTGCCTCTGCAGCAGCACTAAGGATGTCCGACTGCTGGCCCATGGGGATCCTAAGCCATCAGTCAGACATCCCCTGAGGGCTTCTGGACTGCAAAAGAGCACAGGTAGGGCTGAGGAACGTCCCCTCCCCCCTCCCGAGTGCACGGATGACATGCATTGGGCCTCTAGTGTCTACATATTTTAAATGATACAAATTCTAAAATAGTACAGTCTGAGTTTACATATATTTGTAAATACATAAATTATAAATATATAACTAATATAAATGTATATTATATAATATGTGTAATATATAATTCTAAATGTATTTAGAAAAAATTAAATATCCTACTCAGGCGTCTTCAAACTACGGCCCGCGGGCCACATGCAGCCCGCAGAGGAGTCTGATCCAGCCCGCCAGGTTTTTTGGGCAGTGAGCGCAGCCAAGGTGTTACGGTAGGAATTAGTAGTTCATATAGTCCGGCCCTCCAGCTCTCTGAGGGACCATGATCTGGCCTCCACTTTAAAAAGTTTGAGGACGCCTGTTATGGAATAATATGTCCTTGTAAAACAAGTAATTTCTGATAGCATCAATAATATAGAATTGGAATAAAAATAACCTAAGACCATAAAGTCAAATAAAAGTATTCTATTGCTAAGTCAGCATTCAAAATCACTGTGAGTGTATTATTTAAGTTATAAAATTTTGTAACTGCAATTGCACTTTTTAAGAGAAGACAATATGAAAGTTTTTTTTCTTCCTGACAGTTATGCCTTAAAGAGACAAACCTGCACAAAACTAGAAAAGAAAAATAAAAACTAAGTAGGAGGGTCTAGCAGTTTCAAAAACCAGTGGGCCTTTAAGAGGCTTTCACCCACCTAATCTAGCTCAGCACTACAATGGTGTGGAGGAAACTGCTAGCCAAGAAGCCATGGTCCCCTCAAAGCTACAGAAGGAAAAATGCAGCCACTATTTCCTCCAAGCCAGGGAACACGGGTGACAACTTACCTTCCATGGAGATGACTTCATACAGCCCTTGAGACCACTTCATCCTGCCATTCTGCTGCAATGACAAGGATGAAAACTACTGCCACAGCCTCACCACTTTTCCGCTTCCTTTACTGCAAAGCTCCCAGGGCTGCTGCCTCTTAGAGTTCCCTGGTGAGGCTCACAAATTCGTCAGACAACTGTTCTGGGCTGAGCCTGGGGCCTGGTGTCTGAAAGCGCTCCAGTGATTCCAGTGTGCGGTTCAGGCCTGTCAACTGTTGGCTCACACCCAGAGTTGCTGCCATAAGTTTCCCTGCCTTCAGCTTGCCCTTCTGTGGCATCCTCTGTGAACACTGCCAGAATGATCTTTCCGTAAGGCCTACAGAATTCAAGTCACACTCCTGAGCACCATGTGAGAGACTCCACAGGACCTGCTCTTACACACCGACCAGCTGCCTCCCCGACGCTCTCCCCACAAGCTCCACCAGCTCTTGTTTCCCACACGTCAGCCTCAGCCTCTGGGCCTGAGCACTGACTCATCTCTTGCTCTGAGATGCTCTCCGCTGTTTATCTGTTTATCTGCCTGGAAGAGTGTCTTCTCTGTGAAGCCTCTCCTGACATCCAAACCCCCAGCCTCCCATCATGCTCTCAAAGCACAGGTGCACGGGTCTCACGTTGGTCTGTCTGGTTTTGCTGTTGGACTCTCACCATCATTAGGCATTTTTTTGGAGCAAGGAGTATGTCTCACTTGCCTCTGTATCCCCCAAACTTAGCACAGTGCCCAGCGTATACGGACATTTTGTATGTGCTGAATAAATGAACGAACAGCATTTTATACTATTTCCACTTATTACCAACAGAGTCAGACGGGATTCATATTGGGTCTGTGGACAACTCAAGCTTATAGTAAATTTAAGACGTCTTAATATTCATTTAATATTTAGTAATAGTAAGGACCATTTCTTTCAAGATTAGCCTTTCAACTGAATGTAAACCATGGATCAAGTCAAAGAAAAACCTTCATTAAGTCCTCAAGAGTGCTCTCTGATTATCAGCCTCCCCAGACCACACCTTTTCAGAATCAGAGCCAACAGATACTCATCTTGGAGTACGGGTAGGGAAGGAGGCCCACTTAATGCCCACCATAAGTTGGCCCACTTTGGCTGCTCCCATCATGTGACATGGAACCCACAACTCTGGTGAACATGCTTACTTTGTATTTGCTTTCTGATCTGGAAGGGGTGGGAATATGTCCTTTTTTCTTGAAGGTTGTAAAGTGCTTGCATTGAGGGCATGGCTTGGTGCTGGCATCAATACGGCCAAGTTCCAAGAAGTATTTATATTTTATGGAGTCTTCATGCGTTAGGTTATAGACAACCGTTGTTTCTTCCAGGAATTCAAAGCATTCTGTGATAGGGCATTTGATTTCTACTTGGCCAAGCTGTACCTGCATGAAAGAGCAGAAGGGAGAGAAAACAAAACCATTGGTGATTGCATCTCTCTTCTTTTTCTTCACATAGTACTTTTTAATGATTATAGAAAATAATTACCTGTTATCTTTCATGATTCCTAACATGGTAAATGCTAAGCACATTGGTACCTATATTGAGCAGTATCAAAAATAACTAATCACTCTATAATGTTTCCAAAATGATTTATAGTGTGTTTCAGCATTCTCTCTCATTACAGTATTTGTGAATGCCAATGGACTTAAACCCCAGGTTCACCAAAGTAGCAACTTATCACCCCCCTCTCTGGAAACCCCAGGGTGAGACAGCCACTAAAGGAACAGCTGGGATGACAAGGTATTTCAGATATGTCAACCTTACTCCAGTACACCTCAGCACTAAACTTCAGGCACATGCAACCATATTAAAAGGACAAAAAAGGAGATTATGAATATATATCTATACGTGTAATTTAAAAACTGCCTGCCGAAAGGGTAAATTACTATTGATACATACTTTTATGCTACTATTGTACAAAACAGGATCCACAGAGGTTTTTCCAAATATTTGCCCCACATGATTTTTTTTCCTATTTTTTATGAGTCTGCCTATAGTTGCAATCAGATTTTATTGCATCGTTAAAAGAGTTATGATGTTATTATAACCCACATTATGTTTTATCACAAATCATTTTCATTTATAGCTCAAGACAGAAGTCCTCTGAAGATTTTTAAATAGACAGAAACTATGTGTGCTATTATAAGAAACTGGCTTAATGAGATGGACAAGACATTTTTAAAAATTAATGTTTTCTCTCTCACATTCTGTCGACATTTGTCCAGCCCATGTCTGAGCCCGGTACTAGGTTAGGCACTGGAGCTGTGCAAGTGTCTGTCAGTCAAGAGGCAGCCGTGACACAAGTGGTGAATACGGCTAACAGGGTGTCAGGGAGGATACGGGGGAGGCTTGGTAACCTCACACGCAGAATGTTCAGATGAGTCTTCTTGGAAGAAGTGAGGTTTCAAGTGAGATCTTAAGATTAGTAAGACTTTGTCAGACAAAATAAAAGCTGTTTCCACAGACAGAAGACACAGCAGGGGCCAAAGAGCACGGAGCACACTGCAGGAGGGACACCCATATCTTTCCCACATGCCAGTGGATCCAGCGTGCCCTCAGGGTACACGCACCCCAACTTAAAGATGCAGCCCTAGCAGCCCTGGGCGATGGGAGGAAGACTGAAGTGCAAAGGGTAGTTCTGAAGGATGAGGCTGGAAAGACAGATCAGAGCACCAGGGCAGAGTATCAGAGCATGAAGCCATCAGAGAAGTCTGGACGTTTTCCCATGAGAATGGAAAACTGTGGTTTTAGCGTGTAAAAGAGGACTTCTTTTAATTCCACACAGAAGCGGCTCGCTTGGGCCATCTCAGTGACTATTTATTGGGAAGAAACATACTTTAGCGGGTAACAGCCGGAATTTTTTTTTTTTGTCCCAGGTCAATGTTTTAATCTGGCCTCCCTCAACTATAAATGTATTTGTCCTAACTATATAAATGATAACAATGGAAGTAGCAATTTCACAGCTACCAGGAACAGTCAGATCCTTTAGGAATGGAATATTCTTTAGGGACCAGAATGCAAGGCAGCTTACAGAAGCAGGTTATCTTGTTACTCCTCTGGCAGTGGTGTTTGTTCCGATGCCACATTAGGATACCTGCCATCTAACATCCAACCAAATACCTTTTCTTCTAAAGTGTTCCTCAAATCTGCCTGCAAATCTACTCCATCTCCGTGGGACACATCATTTCCTTATGCTTCCACACTGTCTGCATTTTGCCTTTTCCATACCTTCTTTCGGAAAGCTCCCAAATCCCTACCCCACTACCTTGAGTCAAATGATCTCACATCATATTTCCACTGCTAACTGCCCCCATCTATCTATTTATTGTTATTTTATGGTCTTTCTTCCTTTTATGGTATGGAGCCCGAATCTACTTCCAGGACAACTGCATGAGTCACTTGAAGTATTTGTTGAAAACTCAAGTTTACTGGCCCACAAAGCATCTACAGAATATTAATCATTGATGAAAAGCTAGTCACTGGCAATTTAGAGCAATTACTCATACAATCCTTTGAATTACTCATACCTCTTCATACGAGCAATATCCATCTTTTCATAATAAAAATGCTACTCATGGCCTAGATCTCTTGGCCTCTACAAGTCTATCTTTTTTTTTCCCCCCCTCAGAATAATTTCCTGAAAAAAATCACTAGCAAACAAGTCATCATGATTAAGCAAAATACATTTTTTATTTCATCAAGATAACATATTTCATCAATTCAAGCATGCATTTTTTTTTCAACATTTTAATATCTCAGAAGGCAAGATTATCTTACAATCAATAGTCTTTTAACTATGGCTTAATGCCATAGTTTAATTTGCAGTGTTTTTATTTCCTTGGTGGCTCAGAATGCAATACTGCATCCTACAATTGATCATGTCTTAGATTTCAATGAAATGTGGTTTTTATGGGTTAGGCCAGTGGTTGGCAAACTCATTAGTCAACAGAGCCAATATCAATAGTGCAATGACTGAAATTTCTTTTGAGAGCCAAATTTTTTTAATTTAAACTTCTTCTAACGCCACTTCTTCAAAATAGACTCGCTCAGGCCATGGTATTTTGTGGAAGAGCCACACTCAAGGGGCCAAAGAGCTGCATGTGGATTGTGAGCCGCAGTTTGCAGTATGATGGCCTCTGGAGAGATGGAGAGAGAGACAGGACTTCTAGTGGAGGCAATTTATGATGCACAGGTGAATAAACCAGGCAGACTGTAATCAGTTATGACAGATACGACCAGAGAAGAGGTGCCAACTTAACCTGAGGACTACAGGGCCTGTCAGGCAGAGAACTTGGGGGAAAGGACTGGCAGGCAAAGGAAACAAGGACAAGGGCCCCAGGACAGAAGGTGCCCAGTGCGCCTGTGCTCCGAGAACAGAATTGGGTGACTGGAACACATCCGCAATGAGCCAGAACACACAGGCCTTGCTGGCTGTGGTAAGAAGTGTGAATTGTATTCTACGTTCAATATGAATCATTGGCTGGTTTTATGAGTGATATACCTCAAGTTACATTAACCTGTTAACCAAGCGAGACGTATAAATACGTCAAATGTAAACAATATCGGGTACGGATAGGACATATGAATACGTCCTTGAAATATATGTATGTTGAGCCCTGAAACGGGCGGGATGTATATTTCCGAACAACAAAGGTATTAGTCATCCATACATGTCTCGACATCAATTTAAGACATGGAGGGAATCAGTATAATTTCGCTAGTGAGAGTGGTGGACATGTTCAACAAGAATTGTTTTGGAGTTAACACATGACTTACTGAATAAAGGGTATAGGATTTATTTAGATAATTTCTATACGTCAATTCATTTGGCTGAACTCTTGTGTCAAAACAATACAGACATTGTTGGAACAATGAGGATAAACAGAGTCGGAATCCCCAGTGAAATAAAAACAAAAAAATTACAGAAAAATGAACATATGTAAGATTCAAAGACAAACTTATGGTTTTAAAATGGAAGGATAAAAAAGACGTATTGATGCTCAGTTCTACTCATAATGACGAAAAGACAATGATTGAAAAGAAGGCAAGAAAAACAGAATGTTGTCCTGGATTATAACAAGAATATGGGCGGCGTAGATTTGGGAGATAGTTATAGTGGCCTACACGGCTGCCGGTAATAGGGTAAAAAATTTTATAAAAAAATTTTTCTACGATTAATTGATATGTGCTGCTTCAATGCATATATTATATACAAAAAAGATAAAGGTCATTTGGATTGATTATACTTTTTGATAGAGTGTGTACAGAAATTGGTAGATAACAACATAGTGAAAACCCACCCAAAGACATCAACAAGCAGCTCTACATCTAAACCATCACGCTTAATTGAAAGGCATTTTCCAGAACAAATGAAAAGCGATATAGGAAAAACTAAATCCAGGAAATGCCAAGTTTGCTACAAAAAGGTGTTAGGAAAGAATCTACAGACTGGTGTCTGGATTGTAAGGTAGCACTATGTATCAATTGTTTTAAAATATGTAACACGGAAGTTGAGTTTTGAATTTTTACATCTATATTTTAATTTTTTAAACTCAATATTTCTATTTTATTTGTGTGCTTTTGTTTATTGTTCTGTAATTAACTTTTATATTTTTTATTGTGTATCGAAATAATATTTATATATTTTTTGTAATCTTTATAATTGTAAAATTTATAATTTTTTAATTCGATGTTTCCATTTTTTTGTTGGTATTCCTTCCTATTTGTTTGTAATTTTGTATTTTCCTTTCTGCTTTATATATAAATAAACAAAAATATATATATTTCATAGTCTTTTCATTTATTTTAAGTATAAATAAAAAAATAATAATATGAAATTACATCCTCCAGCCGTGACGTACTGACACGTCCTAGTGAAAGAGTACGCGCCCGTTATATGTTGCGTAATTAAAAAGGGAATTCCCTGGTTAACAGGTTAAAAAATCAGTCAGACTCTTCCTGTAGAATGAACTGAAGGAGAACAAAAGTGGAAACTGGGAGAATGGTAGGACTCTGGATTGCACCTGTTCTTACCACCAGTGGCATCTAACTGGCCATTGTCCAGGCAGGAGATGATAGAAGATGGAACTAGGTAGCCAGAGGTAGGCAGGGGTTCTATATGGAAGGAACCAAATGGGGCTTGGTGATGAACCAGATATGGAACATAAAGTAAAGGAAGAAATCAAGGGTGATTCTATATTTTTGCTTGAAATAATATGATTGGTAGGTGTTACTAAGTTTTTAATAAAATATAGTTTATGTGGACATGTGATATTTGTTGGAAGTGATTCACTGCAAATTTATTATAGTAACAAGAATAAAGATCCCTAATTCATCCAAAAAACATATTGAGCTCCTACTGTATCACAGATAAAAGATATAA